TTGGCGGTTTGCACCTCTGCTGGCGCTGCTGGTGCCACCTGTGGCTCTGGGACCTCTGTTTGCACCTCTGCTGCTGCTGGTGCCACCTGTGGCTCTGGGACCTCTGTTTTCACCTCTGCTGCTGCTGGTGCCACCTGTGGCTCTGGGACCTTGCCTGTTTGCACCTCTGCTGGTGCTGCTGCTGGCACCTGTGGCTCTGGCGCCTTGGCCATTTGCACCTCTGCTGCTGGTGCTGGCTGTGGGGGCTTGGCAGTTTGCACCTCTGCTGGCGCTGCTGGTGCCGGCTGTGGCTCCGGGACTGCTGTGGTTTGTGGCTCTGGGATCTTGGCGGCTTGCACCTCTGGTGCTGGTGCCACCTGTGGTGTTGGGGCATTGGATTGCAGCTCCTGCCATGTGGCAGGTTGGGTCTCCACCTCTTCGGGAGTGAGGGTGCACTGCCTCCACCCCAAATCAAAGCCAAAGACATGGCAGTATGTGCGCACATCATCAGATGCAGAGTCATTCATTTTCAGCCACAGCTTCCACAACCCCACATCCTCTCTCATGCTACTGGGGTTCATTTGCAACAAGGCATATTCCTTGTACCTGTAGTGTGTGACCGCTTCTCGGCACTCCTTCCATACAGCATTGTCATCCATCTTGAGCAGCTTCTCACAAACATCACTTTCCCAACCCTGAATCTTTGGGTGGACACGCTCCCGAAGTTGGAGCTTCTCCTCACTGGTCAAGATTGGAGTAGCCTTCTCTTTGGCATAGTTTTGCAACTCCCAGGTCTCCATACGCTCAAGGGTTCCAGGCCGATGTAATGCAGAATGAACTGCATCATGTTGCCATTGCTCCTGTTTGGTCAGAGCCAGAACCCTGGACTACTTTGTTTAGGACATGCAGGATCCTGCCCAGTTCCACTAGATACCAGAAGGGTTGATGAACCAGTCAAGAAAGGGCGTCCACGGATTCCACCAATACAGTATCTAGATTGAGTTCCCCAAGCATGTGATGACAATATTATAAAATTCCACATTCAGATCTAGAGAATCTCCTGGTGTTTTTTTCCATGAGTCAGCCGGCTGCTCCCACCAATCATCCCATGAGCGTGAATAGTCCCAAGACCAGCATTCCGCTGGATCTGGTTGATGTTGTTGCCGTGTCCAATCGGAACGAGCTGGAGTAGCCTAGCCAGGGCAGCATGTCGACAAATGCCACTGAGGAGTGGATGTGGCCATTGGTGGCAACTAGATCGATCAAAGACTATGCAGCCACTTGGCACCAGATCAGCTAGCAGTAGCATGCATGGGTGGGAAACATCCTGCAGGCCTGTGGGCGAGTCAGAGCTGCATAGCTATCCTTGATGTCTTGGGAGTCAGGCATTTGGGAGTCATGCCATTCCGTTGTCTGGCCTCACTGGTCCAGACATGTGACACCAAAAAATTTGGAGTTGTAGGGATTCAGGGTGTCTGACGAATTGCATATTCATGCATTTGGATGATCATTTTTGCCAGTGGGACCATAGACCAACACCACACATGCTGTCCCAGTTGCTGTCCCGTGAGTACAGCAGGGTCTCATTGCTCGAACGATCTTTGGGATCTTTCTTGGATATCCGTGGCCTGGAGGTTCGTGGCCTAATCAGACAGCTGGCATTTTTAAATAGCTCACACCCACTCAACTTCTTGCCCATATGGTGTTTAAAGATTATTAAAAATTCCCAGAGGCTCCTTTCAGCTAGCCAGGAACAATGAGGTGATTTCAGACATGCTATACTCCCGCATCCCTTCTACTTAAACATGGTCATACAAAAACATGGAGGTCAAAAACCAGGGTCGTTTGACATGCCCACATAGCTTTGGCACTTGCCAAGGCCATGACACCAACGTTGAAGTCCCAGCTACTCCATGGATTCCTGCTGCTCCTTGGTGTGCTTCTTCGGAATCGGGGTGACTTTGGGCTGCGGGTTGATCCTGGCCCTCAAGGCTTCATTTCTCTTCAAAGCTTTCTTTACAGAAAGGCAGGGGTCTGGCATACTGACCCACTAAAGAAGAACTTTCAGTAGCACTGACTGCAGCCAAAATCTTCAGGCAGTTCCTGTGTTGGCATGTGATATATACTCATGCAATACTAGAAATTGTTCTTTGTGCGTCTATGAAAAAGAACATGGAACTCCACAAACTCCAGCAGTAATGCACAGTCCATGTTCTCGGATTTGAAGACATAGCTGGATTTGAAGACACAGCACAGTTCATGTTCAGGATGAATTTCTTGCTGAGTGTAATTATCCACAGTCCCAAATGGGCACAATTACCTGGCCTTTGCCAGAGCGACATGCCACTAAGACTGCCATTCGCAAAGCTAATTACACATGCTAGCCACTCACAGAAACCAACCCCATACCAGAATATTGCAGCTTTCATGTGCCACAATTTTCTGAAATAGTTGTCCATATGGGTGATAATCTCCATGTGTTAGGCTACTTTTTCCCACCAGTTTCCATGCATTTGGGTGGTCCTCCGGGCCTGTTACGCTCCTGTTACGCTCCTGTTACGGTTTTGGAAGGTCATTTGGAATTTTAGAAGTACTTTCAGGGGGGGTGTTACGGAATTGTTACGGATCTGTTACGCTAGTTTTTCTCCACCAGATTCCATGAATTTGGGTGGTCATCTGGACCTGTTACGCTCCTGTTACGCTCCTGTTACGGTTTTGGAAGGTCATTTGGAGTTTTAGAAGTACTTTCAGGGGGGGTGTTACGGAATTGTTACGGATCTGTTACGCTAAAAAATTGTCACAGGTTCCATGTGCTTTTGAGCCAAATTTAGGGTGGTTTATTGATTTCTGTCAGTGGGACAGGCTGGATGTTCCAACGGAAATGTTGGTCGGAATGTGCCATTTTCAACAGCAGACCTCAAAAATTCATAAATTGGAACCAAATC